AGCAGGGAGCCCGATGCGGGGCTCGATCCCAGGACCCTGAGATCATGACCTGAGCCGAAGGCAGATGCTTAATGACTGAGCCACCCAGGCGCCCCTGTACTGTTTTATTTAAAATATCATTACTTTAAGGGGTGCCTGACTGGCTCAGTCAGAGGAGCATGCAACTCTTGATCTCGGGGTTGTGAGTTTGAGCCCCCATGTTGGGTGAAGATGTTACTTAAAAATAAAATCTTTTAAAAATAAAATATCATTACTTTAAGATATATATTTTAATATTGATAAAGTGATTATTTGTATATATAAATTAATATTTTTATTTCATAAATGTGATATTTTATTGTAATAATTTTCTCTAAATTTTTAAATTCTACAAAGAAGCCAATAAAGTTAGCTTTCATCCCCCAAAGGGGCTATAACTATGGTCAAATTGTTGGAACAAATCCTTTTATAATTTTTTAAAGCAAATTTAATCATATTATTCAAATTGTCTCATAAATTGTCTTCTTAATGACAAGATATGTCATATAGGACATTCCATGTGATTAAGTGCACTAATAATGTTAATATATATGACTGTACCATTATTTTTACCAAACATCTATGGTCAAATAATATGACTGACTCCACTTTTTTTGTTTGTAAGGAATGCCATGTTTAGCATCCTACTTGGCCCACTGTACTTGGTTGTCTTCTCTTCATTGTTTTTGAAATCTCTGCATACCTTTTGACATGTACATATTTTAAACATGACAGATTAAACTGGCTTCCTTTTTGACCATACTGTACTATGCCATTTTTCTCTCCTTCCCTCCATGTTATTTATCCTTGTGGAGTTTTTCCTAATGATTTTGCCCAAATATAATGTAGGGACTTTAATTTTTTAAAAAATAATTCATTTCCATTTCAACATATTTATATTAAAAACACATTCCTATATGTTATTATAGTTTATGTGAAATGGCATGGCTATATTCACTAGTATATGTGGGTTTGGTAAGGATCAAATGAGTTAATTTACACAAATGCTTATAATTAAGACTTTAACATGCTCAGTAAATATAATCCATTATCAAAATTATTTTTTTCCTTTGTCTATTTTATTATTTATGGAATGGCTCTTAACTATGGTGTATATTTTATTTAATATCAGAAATTTAATATTGGAGAAGAATGTTAAGCCTCTAGTGAATATAGCAAAGTCATCATCATTCATTCCTTCTTGGGCGTGAGATGATCCATCCTGAAGAAAAAAAACATAAGAATATAATGAATAATGCCTTTATTCGTATCTAACCTTATATGTTGAATCCTAAAATTTATGTCAGCATGCAACATTATTGAGAATATTATTGCCCACATTATCTGACTGATTAAAAAATAATATTGGATTGTAGGAACATCTGACTCTTGATCCAATGCATGTTTAAGCCAACATTTGTCTAAGGATGAAATATGAACAAACTGCAATTTTTTTGAACATAAAGGTTGCTGAGTATCCTACGCAGCAAAACCTGTGGGAGGTGGGCAGAATTACTCACAGAACTTACAACTCTAAATCCAGACATGTAAAAAAATAAAAATAAAAAAATAAATCCAGACATGTATTACAATAATTAATACTTGAAATCTGGCACTGGTGCTACAGGGATGTAGAGGAAGCTTCCGTGTATCTGGGACTCAGACTGCCTCTAGAGTGGGGTTTAGCTTGGCTAGTGCTGGTGTCTCTGTGGAGGTATGATACAGGTGGATCTGAGAAGTTTGGAACAACTGCGAACTAGAATCAACAGCTTCTACTGGGAACTATGGCCACTAATAGGGCTTATCACTTTTCTATTGCTGCATAACAAATTGCCACAAGTTTGGCAGCTTAAAGCAATACACAATTATTATCTCAAAGTTTTCATGGCTACATGTGAGGGCCTGGCTTAGCTGGGTCCTTTGCTCAGGGTCTTACAAGGTGGCAATTGAGGTGTCAGTTGGGGATGGTGTCTCACCGAAGGCCCAGGGTCATCCTCCAAATTTACATGTTTGTTGGCAGAATTAATTTCCTTGAAGCGATAGTAATGTTGGCTTGTTTCTTCAAGGGCGGCAGAAGACATTTTTACTTCTGTCTCTGACCTATAGATCTTTTAAAAGGCACATCTCTCAGAATCTGCCCATTCAGGATAATCTCCCTTTTGACCCACTTAAACTGTTTAGGGACCTTGATTATATCTGCCAAAATCCTTCACCTTTGCCATATAACTTAACATAATTATGGAAATGATATACCATCATACCATCATTTTTGCCACATTTTATTCATTAGAAGCAGCGTATGGAGGTGTTAGGGTTGAAGTACGGAGATAAGATACTACTTCAGTGGCCTCATTGCTTGTTTTTGAGGCAAGGGGAAAGCAACCATCTTTTCCTTCGTGAAAGTGGGGATACACCACACAAAACAACAATTTTTGTTACTGGGTCCCTTAGTTCTTGTCCCAGATGCACCAAAGAATTGGGAAACCTGAGACCAGAATGGGGAGATAGAGTTTATTGAGTAGATAAGTGTAGAACACTCAAGAGAGAAAGCGGGCTAGTCCCAGAGCAAGAGTGGCAATGGCCCCGAGAAGCTCTAGCTGCATCCTTTTAAGCCTGTTTTCTGCATAGGTAAATTTGGCTTTGATTGACAGCTGGTGGTTATAGAACATTCTGGCTTCTGTGCATGTGCCTACCCATGATGCAGTCTGTCATAATTGTATTTATTTATAATTGTATTAATTTACAAATGTATGAGTTTCTAGTGAGCTTTTGCTGTGAACTTAAAGTTACTTAACGGAAAGTTGCACCTTTTGTGCTCATGCTCAGTTCTTGGACGTCCCCTTGTGGCTTTTGAGCCAGCTCTGTGGCTAGGCCTTTCCTGTTTTGTTAGCCCTTGGTGGTGGCTCTGAAGGTGTGGCTGTTAACTCTTGGGGGGTGTGCCCAGCATCTGCTTAATCCCTCCTTGCTCATGCCTAACCAACTGCCTAACACTTTTAAGTAATTCTTATCTCAAAGACAGTCCCACATTTCATCATCTTTGACATCTTTACTCTTCAGTGTCCAATACATTAACCAGTAGACACATGTAGTTACTTAAATTTAGATTTAAAGTAATAAAATTTAAAATTCATTTTCTCTGTCTCATAGGCACGTTTCAAGTGCTCAACAGCTGCATGCAGCCAGTGGCCATTGTATTGGGCAGCATATTATAGAAATTTCTGTCGTTGCAAGAAATTATACCGCACAGTCCTATGACATAAATGACCTTTCAGTTATTGAATTATAGGAGAAAACTTGGTGTTCATTGGCTCTGTTGCATACCCTGCAGTGATATCCACAGACAGAGTTGGCACCAGTTATTTTGTGGCTTCATCTAGATCCAGGAGAAAAAAAGTTGTATTTTATCACCCTTTTGCACATTAAACTATGATGAGAGACCAATCTGAAGTTGCCTTGGTAGAAAATTAACATAGAGAAGTCAACAAACCCATGTCCAAATATTCTTTTTTTTAATTTTTAAAAATATTTTATTTTTGCGAGAGAGAGAGCATGAGGGAGGGGATGGAGGGCAGAGGAAGAATCAGACTCCCCACCGAGTGGATGTGAACTCTGGGATCATGACCTGAGCCGAAGGCAGGCGCTTAACCGACTGAGCCACCTAGGTGCCCTCATGTACAAATATTCTTAAAAAATAGAAGATCCAATAGAAAAAAAAAAAAACTGCTTTTATGGTAGTCACAAAAAAAAAGCTATCAAGAAATAAAATTAAATAGAAATGTCCATAATCATTATGGAAAAATACTAATCCCTCCTTGCTCATGCCTAACCAACTGCCTAACACTTTTTAAGTGTGGAAAATAAAAATTTTCCAAAGCAATCGGGAAATGAAAAAATAAAAGGATATAACATCAGGGATTGCAGTACTGACATCGTTAAAAAATCATAATTCCTTAGCTTATAAATGTGATGCAATCTCAATTAAAAATACCCAGGAATTTTTTTTAGATATATGAGCTAATTCTAAAGTCTATATGGAAAAATAAAGAAATCAGAATAACCAGTACAATTCTGAAAGAGGAGAAGAATTGGATAATTGGAACCATCAGATATTAAGACATACTATAACTCTATAATAATTAGGAGTATAGCTCTAGCAAAAATATAATAGAACACTAGAACTACTTAAAAGTCCAGCTATAGATCCAAACACATAGGAAAGATAG